CGGGGTGCCGCGGAGGAGGGGGTGGCAAGGGTGCCGGCTGAGCCTGTCTCTCATCCCCCCAGGAAGCCCGAGAAGGGCATCCAGTACCTCGTGGAGCGCGGCTTCGTGCCCGACACGCCGGTGGGGGTGGCCCACTTCCTGCTGCAGCGCAAGGGCCTGAGTCGGCAGATGATCGGGGAGTTCCTGGGCAACCGGCAGAAGCAGTTCAACCGGGACGTGCTGGAGTGAGTCCGGGCAGGGAGCAGCGTGGACGCGACACGTGGGCTCTGTCCCCCGCACTCGCCCCCTCAGCCGGGCCCCTCCCCTGGCCTGGCTGTGTCTGTCCTGACAGTGGCAGGGGCAAGGGGAGGGGAGCCACCAGAGCTCGACAGGAGGAGGGGATGAGGATCCAGCCAGGCTGGCAGCCAGGCTCTCCGCTACTTGGAAGCCTGCGGAAAAGCGCTTTTCCAGTGCCCTGGGCACCGCTGACAGTGCTGGGAAGTGCTTCCCACGTGCACCCTCCATCCCCCAATCCTCCACGAGACGTTTGGACCCCGTGCCCACAGGGCAGGCACGCACGGGTCATGTCCTCCCCTCGCCCACGAGGGGGGCGTCAGGGACCCGCAGCCCACCCTCAGCTGGCGACCCAGGCCGGCAGTAGGCTGGCTCAAGCAGGTGTCCTGTCCTCCTTCCTGGGGCCTGGGGAGCAGCTCCAGGCCCACCGCAAGGACGTTTCTGCCCCAGGCGATCGGGCAGGCCGGGAACAGAAGCAGAGCAGGGTAAAGTCTAACCAGCAACAGTGGCCCTGGGTGAAGGGGGCAGCCGGGGGCGGGCATGCGCCACCTCTGGGCCCCCCTGGGAGGAAGCAGGTGGGTGTCGTGGCCTCTGCTTCACAGGTGAGCAGACCCAGCTCCGGGGGGCTGGCCTGGGTGCCCCCAGACACACACACACACGTGTGTCCATTCGGTCACGCACAGACACAGGAGAGGCGGCGAGCCTCTGGGCCTGGCATGTGGCTGGTGTGGCTGGCACCCAGCAGATGGCGTCTGGGCCGCCTGGGCCGCCTTCTCCCTGCCCAGCATTTCTGTTCCAGCCCCTCGCTGTGCGTGTGGTTAGTGCCCCCTCCCCTTTGAAACCTGGGAGGAGTGGTTCAAGGACTTGCTCCTTAGTGAGTGGGGCCCAGGACCATCCAGTCCAGACCCATCCCCTGCAGCTGCCCCTGCGCTCCCCCACGCCCCCTCCAGCCTGCTCCTGGCCGGTAGGAAATCCGAGCATTGTTTTCCTTGGGTCAGAAAATAGCAGTGGCCTCAGGAAGTAGCAAGACCCCCCCACCCAGGCGTCCTGCTCGGATGCAGGTCAGCAAATCGTCCCTCGGGGTCCCTGCCCCCACCTTTCCCTCGATGGCGGTGTGCGCGCTCAGAGTGGGTGGGATTGCCAGTGCCTGTCGCCCCAGCAGAGGGGGGGCCCCACGACCGAGGTCTCTGCAGCCCCACGGAGGGTGGTCATGGCTTCATTACCAACAGATGCCGTGGGCACCAGAGTGGGCTGTGAGGGTCCCTGGTGCAGGCCCACCCTCTCTGCGCGGGGGTCGTGGCCAGAGGCAGAAGCAGACTGTGCCGGGGTGGGGCTGTGACGAGTGACCCTCCTTCTGGCAGGTGAGGACGGCACAGCCCCTCTGGGTGCCCCGCAGGGAGGCCCAGGAGAGCCCTATGGGGGGGCGGCCCAGGGCACACTTCTGGAGCTGACTCCTGCCGCCCTCATTCTCCATCCTCCCTGCGGTGACCCCAAGTGCTCCGTCCACCCTCTGCGGGCTGTCCTCACCTCTCCGGCAGGAGGCCGACAGGGAACACTGAGGGCCTTTGTCTCTCGTTTCAGCTGCGTAGTGGACGAGATGGATTTCTCTGCCATGGAGCTGGATGAAGCCCTCCGGAAGTTCCAGGCGCACATCCGGGTCCAGGGGGAGGCCCAGAAGGTGGAGCGGCTAATTGAGGCCTTCAGGTAAGGGCTGCACAGGTGGGGCAGGTGTCGGGCAGAAAGGTCCCCACACAAAAGCAGTGTCTCCAGGGCTGATCCCCCTTCAGGGTCCGGTGGCAGTGAATTCAGCTGGGGTGCCAGGCACTGTGCTGCTTAGCTCTGGTGCCGGGACTAGAAGTCCTCGTCTTCCTCCACGTCCTCCGTGTCCTGGTTGGTTCATGAGTCCATCTGTGTCATCATTCATCTGCTTACTCACAGGGGCAGAGGTTCCCTCATTGAGGGCCTGGTCTGACACCCACGCCACTTACCAGCTGTGTGACCTTGCGCTGGTTACTTAACCTCTCTGTGCCTCATGTCCTCATCTGTAGAGAGGGGATGACGAAAGCATCTACCCTGGTGGAGGGTCAAAGGATTAAAGCACTTAGGATGTGTTTAGCCCAGTGCCTGGCACCCCAGAGAGCCCGTGGTCGAGGTGGGCTGCCCTGTAGTCTTCCGTGCCCGGGCTGTGTGCACACTGGCCATAGAGGGCTCCGTGGTCCATGCCGGCTATGGGAGGCCTAGCCCTCTGGGCTCAGCCAGAGTGCTGGGGCCATGGAGGGACAAGGTTGTGGAAGGAGAAACCCCAGGCCCTGGGAGGAAGGCTTCCTGGAGGGGGTGGCACTTCACAAGGAAGAAGGAATTGAAGCCCACATTGTCTGAGCTCCAACGGCTGCTGCCTGTGGGATATAGGCCTCGGTTCTGGTGCCCCACCTGGTTCCTCTTCCCCATCCCTGCCGCACCCCAAAGGGTCGCCAGAGGGGCCTCAGGGTGGGTCGGGGGCATAGTCGCGGTAGTGAGGACAGTGAGTGGACGATGCCGTGAGGAGCATTTTAGTCAGGCTGTTAGTTCAGCTGCTCCAGCAAAGACCCTGCAGGAGCCGAAACTGAAACACACGAGATGGGCTCCGTCTGAGCTGACGTGGAGGAAGCCTGGACTCCTGTCATCTCTCGGTCCCAGGGGTGGGGGGCAGGTCCAACACCCACCGTCACATCCCCATTCCAGGCGGGTGGAGAGCCTGGGGCACAACCTTGAGGGTGCCCACATCCCACTGGCCAGAACTTGCCACATCCGAGGGATGGGTGGGCGGGTCTTAACTCATGCGGGAAGGGGTGAGTGGACGGTCAGGCCAGCTCTGCCGGACGAGTGTCATTGGGGTTCCCAGTTGCAGAAGCTCAACCGGGGGCAGTGACCAGCCGCAGGCGCAGCGGCCACGCCCCGGGGGGGCGGGCTGGCCTCCCGCCCCGGCTGAAGCGGCCCGTCCCTCCGCCCCCAGCCAGCGGTACTGCATCTGCAACCCCGGCGTGGTGCGGCAGTTCCGGAACCCGGACACCATCTTCATCCTGGCCTTCGCCGTCATCCTGCTCAACACCGACATGTACAGCCCCAGCGTCAAGCCTGAGCGCAAGATGAAGCTGGACGACTTCGTCAAGAACCTCCGAGGTGGGCCCAGGGTGGCGGCTGGCACCGGGGTGGGGGGCTGGCACCAGGGCGGCTGGCACCGGGGTGGGGGGGCTGGCACCGGGGGCGCGCCTGCGCCTCGGGAGGGGTGATGTGTCGTCTCGTCTCAAAGCGCCGCAGGGGTTGACTGGCCCAGGTGTCGGAGGGCAGAGGCCTGAGAACACGGCTCAGCACAGCCGGGGCTGGGCTGGACTCATCGACCCAGGCCGGTCGTGGGGGCCCAGCGAGCACAGGCTGCGGGCCGGGTCCTGGGCACCCAAGACCTCTGAGCAGGGGGCCAGCACAGCCCCGTCCCCGTCCCCACCGCCCTCACTGCGTCCCCCCACACCCCTACACTCAGTGTTGCTCTTGAAACCAACTTGGCCTCACGTCGTAGCCGAAAAGGGAAAGCTAGTAGCATTTGCCACGTGTGGGCGGCATTTGCGACGACAAGTCCGGAGAGAAGACAGCTCCGCTGTGGACGCAGCAGAGCTGTTGCCCCGGGGCGGGCTGCCCCTCCCCCTCGGCAGGTGGGCCCTTGTCGGGCAGGTGCAAGGGGGTGGGCACCGAGAGCCTGGCTCCCCCTGGTGTCACCAGGCAGGGAGAGGAGTTGAAGAGGGAATGGCTGCTGCAGGTCCCTAGCGTCCCTGGACTCCTGGAAGCAGGTGTGGGGGGCACTGCCCCTCCCCTTGGGGAACGGCAGCTGCCAGGGGCCCGGGCCCCTTTAGAAGGGGTGCTGTGACTTTATAAAAGGAAAAGAAGCTGGTCTGAATCAAACCCAGCTTCCTGGACCTTTTGAGCTGTTTAGATCTCTTACCTTGTCCTCTCGCTGCCCTGCTGCCCTGCCTGCCCCTCTCCTGGGCGGAGGGCCGGTGCTGGCGTGCCCTCTGCTGGTGGGCGCCCCCCACCCCGGCCGGCGCTGACGCTCAGAGGGGGCCCCGGGAAGGCCGGGTCTTTGCTGTGGTCCTGGGAAGCCAGGGAGTCCGGGGCCTGGGTAGAGCCAGGCAGGCGAGTAGAGCAGTGAGCAGGTGCTGACAGTCTGGGGGGTCTCCTGGCTGGGCTGAGCCTGCCGGGAGCTGGCCCTGCACTGCGTGCTGCTGGAGACCCGGGGGAGTGTCGGGGACTGTTTTTTCCTCTGGCTTTAGCACCTCACCCGTGTAACCTGGGACCCCCTGTGTGAGAAGTGACAGGAATGAGCCCAGAGGACGGGCTCAGGGAAGACAGGGCTGCTGGGACAGAAGCCTGCCAGTCAGCCGCCCCTGTCAGTGGCTTTGTGGTTGTGTGCGTTCTTGCGCCCACCATCCCAGTCATCCCAGTCATCCCAGTTCCCAGGGCAGGGGCTGAGCACCCAAAAAACCAGGAGAGTGAGCGAGGACTGTTCCCACCAGTCACCTCTTTCCAAGCCCAGGACGCCAGGGTTTTCTGCCGCATCTTCCTTGAGCTTCAGAAGGGGTAACCAGGGTTCGGGGCGGGAAGGGACTCACCTGAGGCCACACAGCAAGTGAGTGTCAGAGGAGGCAGGACTCCTGTCTCCCAAAGCAGGGTTGGCGCTCTGTGCTGAGCACGCATCCAGCTTGTTTTGTTTCAAGGAAAGCTTCCCCCTACACTGGACACACACTTTCTGTGGAATTGCTCAGTTGCCCGGTGGGTCTGGCAGCAGGGGGCCCTCTGGGAGTTCAGGGGTAGTTGGGGGAGGGGCCCTCCCCAGCGTGGAGGCCAGATATGCAGTATCTTGCTTCTATTGATACTTGCCTTTAACCTTTTTAAATATGCACTTTGAATGGGTGTTATCTTCCCGTAGTTCAGAAACCAGAAAGTCCCACGACCCAGTAATCACCCTCCTTGGTATTTACCCAAAAGAGTTGAAAACTTAGATCCAGACAGAACCTAATGTGTTTATAAGCAGCTTCATTCATAATTGCCAAAACTTGGAAGCCACCAAGACGTCCTTCAGTAGATGAACGAATACACTGTGGTCCATCCAGACTATGGAATGTTATTCAGTGTTGAAAGAAGTGAGCTCCCAAGCCGTGAAAAGACACGGAGGGAACTTAAGCGAACATTGCTAAGCGACAGGAGCCGCGGGGAAAGCCTGCAGCGCTGCAGGACCCCAGCTGTGCCACACCCTGCGGGAGGCCGCGCTGCCAGGACGGCGGGGAGGCTGGGGGCTGGGGGCCGGGCGGAAAGGAGACACCCAGAGGGTTTTTAGGGCGGTGAGAGTACTCTGTGTGGTATTACAATGGTGGACACATGTCAGCGGACACCTGTCCAAATCCGTAGGATGGATAACACCAGAGCGAACCCTCATGTAAACTGTGGACCCGGGGCTTCTGATGTTCGGCGTCGGTTCGGTAGCGAGCGGGCCCCTGATGGGGGATGCTGAGAGTGGGGCTGGGGTCCATGGGAACTCTGTGCTTTCCCCTTAATTTTGCTATGAACTTAAAAACGCTCTAAAAAATAAAAAGACTTAAGTATGAAAGATCCGTAGCAGGACCCCTCCACCCCGCCGTCTCCCCCGGAGATCCTCGGCTCTGAGTCCCTGCCTTGCCCCCGAGCGCCCCCCGCTGGAGCGTGTGGGTGTGCACGATCGGTTTCTCCCTCTTCTCCTTGGCGTCTCGCTTTTCCATTTAATGCGCGTCAGCTCGCTGTGGCCTGCCATCCTCGCTCCTGCGGGGGCACGGTAACCCCTGGGCTGGGAGTCCCCGTGTGAGGACGGGTCAGCAGTCCCCTGTGAGTGGTAAATGGGCTCATCCCAGTGTTCTGCTCTTTGGAAACAAGGCTGCAGTGACTATCAAATCCCATGGGACAGATCCCCCCGGTACACTCAGTGGACGGAAGGTGTTTGAACTTATGACCGTGACATGAGTGCCAAGTGGCCCACCAGGGGGCCCGACGTGTCCTGCTGCCCCACACCTGTGGTCTGCAGTCTGAGGGTGGAGGTTCACATCTCTCTCGTGAGCAGGGCTGTGTCTTTCTGACAGCAGTTTCAGGCCGTGTAGCAGAAAGAGCACAAGCTTACTGTCACAGCAACCCGGGTTCGAGCCCAGGGAACTGGGGCAGCGGCTACTCAGATGCACTGAGTGCTTGCTTTTGGGGGGTGCCCCACAAGCCACCCCCATTCCCTTTGAAGCTGCCGTGCTCTTGGTGGCCTGTATCATGGAGGGGAGGACTCCCAACTCAGAGAGACTGATAAGGGGTGAAGTGAGGACGTGGCCCGGCCCATTGCAGCCTGAACTCACAAACCCTGTCTCCACGGCCTCCCTGCACCCTAGCCCTTCCCCAGGCCTCGGCTTGCCCCTCCGTGGGACAGGGATCATGTGCCCGCCCCATGGGGCGGCGGTCAGGACCAAGCGAGGCAGTGTTTGTAAAACCCTCTGAGCATGGCTGGCCCCCCGCCCCCAACACTGGTCCCAGGGCTGTGCGGGCCTGGTCCCTGGGGCAGGGGTTCTGCAGCCATGGGTCTGGAAGGCCTTTGGCTCCGCTGCGGACTGGCGGGACGGCTGTTGGGTTTGGCCTGGAACCTGGAGTGTTGGCTGAGCCCCGCCGCTGTCCCTGCCAGGCGTGGACGACGGCGAGGACATCCCGCGGGAGACGCTGGTGGGGATCTATGAGCGCATCCGGAAGCGGGAGCTGAGGACCAACGAGGACCACGTGTCGCAGGTGCAGAAGGTGGAGAAGCTCATCGTGGGGAAGAAGCCGGTAGGTGGGGCCCCGGGCCCCTCACCTGTGACCCCGTGCCCCGGGCTGCCCTGCTGGTTCTGCTTCGGCCAGTGGCCCTGACGCCTCTGGACCCTGGTCCCTTCCAGGCAGGGTTGGTGAATTGTGCCAGGTTTGGGGCTTCTTAAATGGCTCCTGGTATTTGGGAGTGACAGCCATTCCCTCTGGGGCCCGTCTGAGAACCCAAGGCTCTTAATAAGCCAGCGGTGGCCGGGACTGTGCGGTGGTTCCCTGGAGCCCACCAGGGCTCCCCCCTCACCAGTTCCCTGCAGCACTGTGGGGGCTCAGGAGGGGCTGCGGGAGGGGTGTGCCCCACAGGCTCCGCCAGGCCTGATGCACCTTCGGGGCGTTAACGTCTTTTCTTGTCTTGTGGTTTCCCCCCAGATTGGATCCCTGCATCACGGGCTGGGCTGTGTGAGTACCCCCCGCTGCCACACTCGGCTGACCCCCGCCCCGGGGCCAGCCCGTCCTTCCTTTGCTCGTCGCAACCTTGGGCTCCCAGACCTCCTGCTCTGGCTGCAGGAGTTAATTTCTGGAGGGAGAAGAAAGCTGGTTTTCACAGTTACCCCCGCCTCAGACCTCTGCAGGCCTGAGACAGCAGCCACGTGGGGAGGGCTGCGAAAGCAGCGGTCTCCTCCCCTCTCATCTGGGCCCAGCGGAGCGCAGAGACCCCCAGGTTGTCCCCAGGCCCCCAAACCATGCAGATGACCTTCCCCGCCCAGGCCACGCTCTGCCTCTGCTGGCCTCCCAGTTCCGTAACATGGCCAGTGCCTGGGGGCTGTGCACCCACATGTCCCAACACACGCACACGCAGCCCGCCGGCCCTAGTGTGGCCTTTACCTGTCGCTGGGCAGCCAGTTCAGCTTCACAA